TTTATCGTAGAATTTTTCTTTGCCTGACGTTCGTCGTTGAACGTGAAGCTTAACTCTCTATTGTGTATTATACAGTTATTATACAGCCCAGTGTATTTTCCCTACAAATATACAATATTAGTAGGGAAAATACAATATTTGTAGGGGAACGTAGGGGAACATTGGGGACAATTGCATATCGTGCTGTAGGGGAAATGTAGGGGATTTCAGTGCCCGCCATAGGTGAAAATAGGGAACGGAGAGTGGCAGCCCTGTTTCTGATCGCTACTTTGTGCTTGATAGCAAATTATTAAAGTTCAATGGGAAGATTTACTATCAGAAATTCTGAACTAATACTAGCCATGTCTGTTAGTATTTATACGAAACCGTAAAGGCTGCTTTAGAGAAGGACGATCGACAAAATGTCAAAGATATTGAAGCTGATTTAAAAAAGCGAGTAACGGTGTACCGAAGCTTTCTATTAAAGATTTATTGAGCGTTGTGAATAACATAAGCCTCGACATAAGCAGCCTTCCTCGCACGAAATTTTGGTGCGGAATCTTGCATCCTGAATTACGTTCGAGAGACAAAAATCTTTTGTACGGCCTTCAGATATATATTCTATTTTAACTAGATATAGCATTATAACTGTTGTATACTCAAACTGTGGTGGATTGTGCGTCTGTACGCACATGTTATAATATCGGCGGGTACGCGTTTAATATAAGACGTATAATAATACGAGACGAAATTTACATAATATTTCCGTCAATTTACATAAATACTATGGCTTAATACAGGCAGTTTCAGTGTGTTTATACTTTGTTTATGCTTCTTGTGACATGTGGACTTTATATATGAATCAGATAGCTACTTAATAACACTGTATTATTTATACTTAGCCTACAAGAACACGACAATGTAGCATGGCCTAATGGTCTTGTGTAATACGATCTCTACATCATGTATACAACAAGTAAAATGGATCATGTTGCCATTGTGAATACTTATTCATGGCGCATGTTTCTGCTACGAATGAAACTCGAGGAGCAGTGAATTAAACGTGGAAATTGTCTTCCTATATTGCATCACTATATTGCAAATTTTTTTGACCATCCATGTCAAAGCAAATAATATGCGATTAAATAACAATTTTTAAAACGTCAAGTCATCCTTGTCAATCTATTTCTCGATGAGAATTGGATATCTGTTTGACATTGGGCGAAAAAGCAATTTTTTAAGTTAGGCCTACATTTTTTCGTAAACAGAACATATCTAAAAAATATTAATTTGCTTGGCAACCCCCCCCCCC